TACGGTGGCCAGTTCCCCAAGAAGAAGGACCAGAAGCCACTCTTTGAAGCTATTCCAAAAATCAAAGAAGGTTCTGTAACTCTCTTCTCTACCTCCCCCCGCCCCACGGGGTTTTAATAATAAAACATAATTGATGTTTTATAATTCTCTCTCTTCTCTCCATTATTAGTGGATGTGTAGAGTTTTATAGATTTTGAATGTTTTTTTTTTTTGTTTCTGGGTTCGTTTTTCAGATCTTTCACATGAATGATCCTGTTTATCACTACTTATTACTCTATGCTTGATGTAAAATATTACTTCCATATTTACTTATTTTGATATCAATATATATATAACAGAAAAAAATTATTTAAAACCTTTTAATCTTATTCCTCTAATTTTTCAAATTCAAGTCGTCAAAAGTTTGACTTTTCCCTCGCACCAAACAGACTCTCCGATAGTCTCTCTCGCATCTTATTGCCCAGCTGTGCTATGTATCAATCTTTCATCCATTCTTGGGAAGATGACCCAAAAAAAAAAAAAGAAGCTAAAAATTTATAAATACCAAACAAGAAATATCAACAAAAATTTATTGTCATTTGTAAATTCAATATTGTTAACACTAAATAAAGTATTGTTACCAAGCTTGATTTGGGATTTAGTAATTTCTAACTTCTTTTTTTTTTTTTTGGTCCTTCTCCTCGAATTTTTCTTTCCTTGTTTGATTGTTTGGTTTTTTTTTTCCTTGGGAAAATGTTATAAAAGGACGACAATATAGTGAAGGACGTACTACTAAATTCATAAAAATATCGTTGTGTATATAATTTTTCTTTTCGTCTGTTTAAACTAATCACGGCCGCATCTTTAAGGAAGGAAACAATTTTGCTTTCAACCTCATGACCGCTCCAACGTCATCAAAAATATCATGCAGGATGCTCAGTTCAACAAAGCCAAAAGCATTTGGAAGTATATAAGATTTAAATATTTTTCTTTTAATAAAAAGACCACATTATCCTCCACAATTTTTCAGCTTGAACAACCACAGCCGGCTTCCTCCAACTACTGCCACAGCCAGATTCTCCATCAGTCACTTGTAATCATCAAACCCAGTGAGGCCGCCGACGACCTCAAAAGCAGATAGGAAGAAAGTTTGAAATTTTTCAGGCGAAGAAATCAATGAAAAACTTCCACCATTGAAGCTCTTCAAATCTCGGTGGCTGAGCTGGCTGTGATGTCTCCTCCAAGAACAACCTCGAGGAACTTAGAAATCTATCCCTCTCAGGCTCATCGTGCTCCAGTTGCGGAAGACGATTCGACGGCAAATCTGGTTACAGAAGATCTACCAAGTTTGATTTTCAGACTTCGAGGTATTGGACAACGGAGAAGGGCGGAGTTTAAGAGGTGAAGGATACGATGAGGTGGGCTTCGATTAGGGAGGTCGCTGTCACCACAGTTCGCGTGCACCGTCATCGGCGAATATGAAGATTGAAGACCCATAGTCGTTGTCGCCTTTCCCATTCTCTGATCTTGGGTCCAGGGACCACGATAGGGTTCGAGGCTGCTTGTCGGAGTAGACTTGAAGTGGAATCGGACTCCACGTGGAATCAACATGGCACATACCTGAAGATGTCACATACCAAATGGGCTACAACATTTTTTTCCCACTAAAACATAGGCATCCCTTGATCGGAAGCAAACATATTCAAGCTACTATTGGGCAATAAATATGGACACTTCTCCTAGTAGGGATTTGAACTTTGATTCATCATATTATGAGAAATTACCCCTTCCGCTAAACCCAACCTGCTGGTAAATGGGCTACAATATGAATTTCGCCTTTCATTCTGTTTCCATAGTCCCCAATTTCATCATGCCAAGCGGAACAACAGTTTATTTGCCCAAAGTATGTCAGATATGATTTGGTTTCAATATTGTCCTAATTAGAAACTTCAGAATATTTTCTTTTAATTTTAGAATTTTATAATAATTTTTTACTATTTAATTCATAGAGCTAAATTGATAGTTCTTCACATATTTACTTCCTCCAACTTCAAGTGAAATAGAATTGCATGTTGAATTTCTTCCCTTATATTTCCCCCTTGTCCATTGATTTCTCTGGTTTCGCCATCCTTTTTTCCCCCCCAAATATCTCTCCCTCCTTTCTAGTCTTTTTATTCTCCCTCTTTTGGTGATAACTATTCTCCCTCCCCCCCCCCCCCCCCCCAATTAGTACATAAGATATGCTTTGTATGATGACATGGATTATATAAATTTTGTATAAAACTAAGTCAGCTACTTTTGGGTCTGCAAATTAGTTAATTGGGTGTTATATTTAAAATTAAAGGATGTATATATACTTTCTATGTGGTTTATTTAGCTAAAGAAGCTTATAGAGTTTAATCCTTGATAATCCAGTGGAGGGAAATTTTGGTTTATTATATTTTCATTTCTCTTAATAATTTAATTAGAATCAAGTCAATAATGTCGCATAAAATGACAAAACTGATGGAAAGGAGATTGGATGAAAGTGATTAAAATTAAAATATAAAAATACTTACTTTTAATTAAATAACTTATCTCCACTTTCTCGTGCTCCAAACTTTACGAATTTTAGAAACAAAAAATGCTTGAGAACTTCGAAAATTGAATTTGTTAAGTAAAGCAATCTAAAGCAAAACCCACAAAGCCTAACCTTCTGTATCATTTCCCTCATCCGCTGTATATATATTATTAAAAGGCAAAAACGCATCACGGAATCAATGAGAAGTTCACTAAAGCTGCCAACGATGAGGGTGAAGAAGCAGAGGAAGGGGATGCTGGTGGAAGACATGGCGAAGGACTCCAATTGCATGTATTATCAGACAAAGCTGAGTTGGAAGACACATTTGCAATTTTTAATTGGTGTTATGTAATATTTTTTGCCATATAGAATAGTTATTTGGTGATTGAAAATAAGTTATATGTAATAAGGATTATTAAATTATTAAATTTGAAAAGATTAAAGACTAAGTTAAAAAAAAATCAAAATTTTTAGGGATTGAGTTGCATCGGCCATTGGGTCATCGGTGAGAGATTGAATTATAAAAAGTTAAAACTTAAAAGATCAAAAGATTAATTTTCACTAAAAAATTCATTTTGGTTTTATTTATCAAAAAGTAAGTACCTTTTGTTTTATATTGTTTTATATATTTATTAATATTTTCCTTCTATACCCTATTTCTCTTCAAAATCAAAACTGATTTTAGTGCTTGTTGCGGTGCTCATTATTATAATGAGATCTATACGATCTAAATATAATTTCAAATTTCATCGGTTCAGATTCAAAATTTTTAATTTATAATGTTGAAACAATTTTTTTTTTACTGACAGTTAAAAAATAATATTTATTTTAAATTTTGTATATGTTAAAATATTAATATTATTAAAAATAGGAAGAATCTCACTGGAAAAAAAAATTGAAATTACTAAATCTTAAATAAGAAATTCCGACAACAATGTGTTGTTATTTGTAAGTATATTATTGTCAAAACCTATTAAAGTATTGTTACCAAATTTGAATTTTGATTTATTAATGGGTTATGGTGCAATTTTGACCTTGATCTTATTTTTTTATGTGTAATTTTGCCCCTAATCTATTGGTGGTGGAATTTTGCCTTTAATCTTATTTCTCCAATGCATTTTTGCCCTTGATCTTTTTTTCTCGAGTGCAATTTTGCCTCTAATCTTTGGGTGTAATTTTGACCCTGAGCAGCAAAATTGCACACATGAAAAAAAAAAAAAGAACAGGATCAAAGTTGCACCACTAAAAAGATCAGAGGCAAAATTACATTTGAGAAATAAGATTAGGGTTAAAATTACACCTTAGCCCTTTAATAATTTCAGTCTTCTTTCTATGGAATTCTCCCCTTAAAAATATAAAAATATATTAAATTTCAACCGCTTACGTTTATTTGGATAGTTCATCTTTGGTTTCCGTCACCAAACTGAATCCTTTGCAATCCTTCCAGACTGACGCAAAAGCAAAAGGCTTGTGTTGTGTCGACAATTACTTTATTATTCACCGTTAAGGTATCGAAAGAAAAGTAGAGGCTACTGCTTCATACAGGGAACCCCCCCCCCCCCCAAAAAAAAAAAATCCCTTCACGGAGCTGACAATCAATTTTTGGTGGGCGAATCTCAGCAGAATGCTCTCACCTACATTCTCCAAAACTGCATCATTGATCAGTGCAAAAGATTCAAATCTTAATGCATGCTAATAATTCCTCCAAGAGAGTCATCAAGTCAACGGCTCCTAGTGTAGCCTCCTCGTTTTTCTTGTTCCCATAGGTCGCTTTCTGGATTCCTTTGTTTCCTTTCACTCTTTCTCCATTCACTGTCCTGCAGAAGCAGTAAAAGCCTCATCTCTCTCTCCCTCACCAACCCAGCAATTCAAAGTAACTTTCGGCTCTCCATATATCTACAACTTCTTGTTTGTTTTGATTGATGCCATGATGCTGGTTGCCGCAGTATTAACGGGTTCTTCTTCTTCTTCTTCAGAAAGAAACCACTGATCGTTCCAACACTCCCATATCTTTGAAGCCCATAACTGACAGAAGATTCCATGGATCTGGTGAACCAGCAGCGGAGAAGCCGGCAGGGTAATCCATTAATCCTTTCACTTTGAAGTATTAAAAGTCCCTAAATGCTTATTTTCTACTATTCTTATTCCTGCCTAGGATTCAAACCCAATTTTGAAGCCTGAATCGAAGCTTCCGGCTACCTCCAACTGCAAAATTAGATTTTGTTATTAAATTGAAAAGCTTTTGAATTTTTTTAAAAATGTTAAATAATTATAAGTTAATTTCTTATCTTATAATTTAGAACACAGGATTTGGCTAATCAAAGGAGCCAATCAATTATCTTCTAATTCTTAATATATTCACAATTTTTATCGTCATTCACAACCAATATTAACCTCTACAGATCCTTTTACGTGCTTGTGTAATTTAACGTGCATGCAGATGATAAATATGAAGTGTTCTTGAGTTTTATTAGAGACGAAGATGCTCAAGAATCTTTTACTTCCTGCCTCTATTCATCCCTAAGGGAAGCTAGAATTTCCGTCTCAAAGCTGATATCTCAATTGAACTATTGCTAAGCATTATTGAAGGTTGTAAAATTTCAATTATCATCTTCTCTGAACACTATGCTAGTTCTAGAAGATGCCTCAAGGAACTCACAAAAATCATGGAGTTTCGTAGCGCACATGATCAGATAGTTGTTCCCGTATTCTATGGTGTGGATCCGTCTGAAGTTCAAAATATAGAATCTACTTTTGGACAATCATTTCAAAATCTTATACAAAGAGTTTCACCCACTGAAGATCAAGTGTTAAGGTGGAGGACATCTCTCACTGAAGCTGGAAGCATTTATGGGTTTGCTGTACCTTATTTCAAGTCCAAGTAATTTATTTTTCTTTTCATTTTGTGTTTATTTATTTATTTTAATTCTATGAAGGTGTGAAGATCATAATCGAGGATACTAGATTATTGTTTCACAAGACTGACAGGTTCTGATTAATCAAACATTCAGGGAGAATTTAGGTTTTGCTTATTTTCTAGCTAATAAATCTTCATAGACAATGGAAAGGAGTTATTGTGCACTTGATCAACCTCCACCTCTGGAGCAAGAGCAGGAGATTGATGAAGGGGTTTATGTTATCCAATTGTTCTGTTGACTTGTCTTTGTAGAATACAGTTACTATTCACAAATTATAATAATAATAATGCTTTTATGTTTGAGTTCTTGATGTAAATATATGTGTGTTGCTCTTGATACCACTGTTATGCTTTATTTGTAATCATGCTTTATTAATCAATGCTCCCTTTTCTGCTATTCTTTCTTTATGATTACAGGACTGAAAGTGAGGTCATTCAGAAAATTGTTGAGCATGTTCGTTATATATTGGATAGGAGAGGCCCGTTGTCTCAAGACGACGACGATCTAGTTGGAGTGAGTTGTCAAGTGCTAGAAGTGATTAGAATGTTTCATAATCATCAATCCAAAAAAGTTCTCTCCTTAGGGATATGGGGAATGGGGGGGATAGGCAAAACAACTCTTGCCAAGCTCGTTTTTGAGCACATTTGTGACGAGTTTACGAGTACGCTTTTCCTTTCAAACGTTAGGGAAGCTTGGGAGAGGGAAGAAAAAGATTATTTACAAAAAATTTCTTTCAGTAATATGTGAAGCAACATATAAGAAAGTAGGAATAGACGACTTTGAATTCGCAAGACTCAAGTTGATGAAGGAAACACTTTGCCATAAGAAGGTACTTCTTGTGGTTGATGATGTAAATAATTGGGAGCAACTACCTGCTTTATGTGGAAGCCCTGAATGGTTTGGTGAAGGGAGTAGAATAATCATTACAACTCGAGAATATTATTATCTTAAGGCCTTTCAAGTGGACTGTGTATATAGCATGAAACTTTTGAGCGATCATGAGTCTCTTCAACTTGTTGGTAGAAAAGCATTTAAACAAGCAAGTCCTGAAGGAGAATTCACTGAACTTAGCAGAAGAATGGTTGCTTATGCTGAGGGACTGCCACTAGCTCTTGAAGTCCTCGGCTCCTTTCTGTATGGGCGGTCACAGATGGAATGGGAGTCGGTATTAATGAAACTAAGCACAAATCCCCCTCCTAACATATACAACTCACTAAAGCTTAGCTTTGACTCTTTAGACAATAAGGAAAAAGAAATATTTCTAAACATAGTTTTATTTTATATTGGGGAGGACATGAAAGGCGTGATAGAGAAGTTGGATGGCCGTGGATGTAATGCTAGGATTAGGATGAAAGGCCTAAAGGAACGAAGCCTTGTAACCATTGACAAGAACAATAAACTTGGAATGCACAATCTGTTGCAGGTCATGGGAAGACAAATAATACGTCGAAGTTCACAAAATGAGCTTTCAAATCGAGGTAGGCTATATATGGTTTTGTAAGGATATATGTGCTTCACTTATTATCAAACACGCATCACTGATATAATTAATATTATTATCCATAATATTTTTAACATTTTATACTATTAAATTATAACAATGTTTGTATCATAATGATATTTTAATTATATTAATTTAAATATGAATTTAGTTTATTGATATTTTGTATTTTGGAAATATAACATTCAGGTCATCATCAGTATGAGGTATTCTTGAGTTTTAGAGGTGAAGACACTCGTGCAACTTTTACTTCACATCTTTATTCAGCTCTATGTAATGCTGGTATTATTGTTTTCAAAGATGAAGTCAAGCTTCCCAGAGGAGAGTATATCAAAACGGCACTATTGCAAGCAATTGGAAGTTCAAAAATCACAATCATCATCTTCTCTAGGGAATATGCTGGATCTAAATGGTGTTTGGAGGAATTGTCATTAATCATGGAGCATCGTATGTCAAATGATCAGGTGGTCTTACCTGTGTTTTACGATGTGGATCCATCAGAAATTCGTCATCAAACTTCTAGTTTTGGAGAAGCATTTAAAGAGCTTATACGAAGAATTTCTCCACCAGAATATCAGGTTTCCAGGTGGAGGACAACCCTTGCTGAGGCTGGAGGCATTGCAGGGATTGTTGTACTTGGTTCCAGGTAATTGTTTACTCTTTATTTGTTTTTGATTAAGACATCTAATCTTTGTTTACATGTATTTGTATGTATATTACTTGGGATACTTGAAATGTCACTTGTCACATTATTTGGAGCATGACTCATCGCCTTTGCTCACTCCCTACTAGACAGAGTTTTGAAAGTTACATATTGTAAAATTTTGAAGTCTAATACTACTTGCGGTTCTGAATATAAGATTTAGTGCGTAGTTCATTTGAACTACAAGCTAAATATTATATTTAGGATCAAAGGTTAGGGGTAGCATACTCCTCATATAATCATGCATGGCTTACTATAAAAAGGTATGAGTCATCATTAATTGCACTTCATTCTGTCGTGTTGACTTCTGATTACTTATATCACAACGAATTGAAGCCTTATAATAAGCCCTGTTCGTATTTAAAAAAAGGAGCAATTTTATTGTCACCGGTACTCCAATGGCAAGCAAAATTGACATTTATCTTGTCAAACCTCTTTGTTTATTTTCATTTGCTTCGTGGTCTATGTCATTTTCTTCGTTTAAAGGTCATTTTTGTTTCACAATTAAATTTAAATGACATTGCTCTTTTTTTAAAATTTTTTGGTGATACTTAACCAAAAAAATTTCAAATATCCATAGCTTCTTCATAAATATTGTCATGATAAAAATGACTTTTAAACCTATTTTATATCAAAGTAACTTTATTGAAATTTGTTTTAATTACTTAAAGATAGGTTTAGGGGCCTACAAACGTGGCCTAAAACCTCTTGTTTATTGAATGAAATCGCTAGTTTAAATTGCCTTCTCTCATATTTCTCCCTGATTCTCTTTCCCCTGGGATGTCTCTCTTCTCCTTTTACCTTCCTCATTTTAAATCATATGAATAAGTGTGACATTGATTCATAGTGAACTCAATGCTCGCTTTGCAGTTAAATAATGAGTGTTTCAACGTATTTTCTCTTGTTATCACTGCCACTAGCTAGCTCCTGTCATTTTGATCTATAATTTATTCATCATATCTTTTCTTCTCCAAACACATGTATCTTTCAAAATATTGACCTTCTTTATTTGTAATTATACGTGTTTATGTTTCCAATGCCCGTTTCCTCTAATGCTTATATGATTCGCAGGAATGAGAGTGAAGAAGTGAAAGTTGTTATTGAGAATGTTTGTAATGTATTAGACAAGAAAGACTTGTTTGTGGCCGACCACCCAGTAGGACTAGATAATCATGTGCGAGAAGTGATCACAATGCTCCAAAGCCATCAACCTGAAGATGTTGTCATGGTTGGGATATGGGGAATGGGGGGCGTAGGCAAAACGACTATTGCCAAAGCCATTTATAATGAAATTGGTCGCTCTTTTGAGAGTAGAAGCTATCTTTCAAAGATCAGAAAAGTTTGGGATCAAAAGGAAGGCCAAGTGCGCTTACAGAATCAACTTCTTTCTGATATATGTAAGACAACAGAAATGAAGATAAATAGCATTGAATCAGGAAAGATCACATTGAGGGATAGACTTCCCCATAAAAGGGCATTGGTTGTGCTTGATGATGTGGATAAGTTGGCCCAACTGAATGCTTTAGTTGGAAGTCATGACTGGTTTAAACTAGGAAGTAAAATAATCATCACAACTAGAGATAGACGTTTGCTTCTTAAAAGGGGTTGTGATGTTTATATCGTGACGAATTTAAATGAAGGCGAATCTATTGAGCTTTTTAGTTGGCATGCATTTAAACAAGCAAGTCCCAAAAAAAATTTCAAAGAGCTTTCTAGAAATATAGTAGCATACTCAGGGGGACTTCCACTAGCTCTTGAAGTCCTTGGCTCCTATTTATTTGACAGAGAAGCAAAGGAATGGAAGAGCGTATTGGAGAAACTTAAAAAAATTCCTGACAATAAGATACAGAAGAAGCTAAAAATAAGCTATGACGGTTTAGATGATTTGGAGAAAGAAATATTTCTTGATATATGTTGCTTCTTTATTGGGATGGATAGAAATGAAGTAACACACATATTAAATGGCTGCGAATTTTTCGCTGACATTGGAATCAAAACTCTTGTGGAGCGAAGCCTTGTAACCGTTGATGAGAACAACAAGCTTGGTATGCATGATTTGTTGCGAGACATGGGTAGAGAAATAATTCGTGAACAATCTCAAAAGGAGCTTGGGAAGAGAAGTAGGTTGTGGTTTCATGAGGATGCATGTGCTGTATTATCAGAACAGATGGTAGGAACTTTTATGTCCAATATTTACTATTTTCTGTTACATGTATTGCAAGTAAAAATGAGCATCGGTTGATTGATGATATAAACCATTTGCTTTTATCTCTCTTATTGTATGAATTTCAAAACTCATTTGGAGTCTCTTAATTTGCTTTTCGGAAAACATTTAACACAAGTGCACACTTCGATTACTTCTGCAGGGAACAGAGGCCATTGAAGGACTCGCTTTAAAGATGTCACAAAGTGAAAAAATGCATTTTCAGGCAGAAGCATTTAAGATGATGAGGAGACTTAGATTACTGCATCTTGAAGATGTACAACTTAGAGGAGACTACCAATACATCAGTAGAGATCTCAGATGGCTTTGCTGGCATGGCTTTCATGTAAAATACATTCCTAGCAACTTTTATCAACAGAAATTAGTTGCTATTGACTTAAAACACAGCAGCCTCATACAACTGTGGAAGGAACCCCGGGTATGTAAATTAATATTTAGTTTGTTGGCCTTCTGAGCCATAAATACCAAAGTTAAAACCTGAAAAATTGCCAAACTGCTCTGTCACAGAAAATCTGTTTGCTCGGAAAAAATTACCAAAATACGTACTTCAAATTTATAGCATTATGGTAAACAATTTTTGTGGCATAGTCTTATCGTAATTTTTTTCTTATTTTTTTTCCCAGTATATGACTTTGAAAGCTAAGTTAATTTGTTCATGTTAGCTTCAAAGTTTATGGATATGGAATAAGAGAGATGTGGACGTGTAAATAAAGTAATCTCTTTTTTATTGGATTTTATATTTGACAGCCTTCCTGATAGATCTTCATTTTATCTTTTTCCCCACCCCCTTAAACAAAGCTACTAGATTTCATTTAATTCACCTTCGCCTTACATGCCATGCCTGCTTTCCCTTCTGGAGTTAATTCTTGAATTGATTGAAAGCAATGTTTTCACATAAGAATTTTCGGTTTAGATGAAGGATTTTACATTTAATCATTTTGACGGATTTTTTTAGTTTTTAAAAATGTTAATCTCATTCTGATTTGAAATTAAATGTTTTTGTTGTAGTTATTGAAGATGGTGAAGATCCTCAATCTAAGCCACTCACCTTGCTTGTCTCAAACTCCTGATTTCTCAAATCTACCAAATCTTGAATCGTTGATCCTCAAAGATTGTCCAAGTTTGTTCATCATACATCATTCTATTGGGCTTCTTCATAAACTTCTTTTACTAGATTTGGAGGATTGTATTGGCCTTCGTAGTCTCCCAAGAAGCATTTATAGATTAAAACGCTTGAAAACTCTCATTCTTTCTGGTTGTAAGAATATTGAAAAGCTTGAGGAGGACATAGAACAAATGGAGTCTTTGACAACTCTAATTGCTCCTGCAATAAAAAAAGTGCCCTATTCTTTAGTGAGATTAAAAAGCATTTTATATCTATCTGTGTGCGGTCATGAAGGATTATCACGTCAAGTGATTCCTTCTCTTTGCCAGTCTTGGATGTCCCCAACAAATAATCCACTACCTCTTATTCCATCCCCTGCGGGCATGCCATCATCAATTTTGTGGGATATGCTAAAGAGTATCAGTGATTCTCAAACAATCCCAAGTAGTGTGCCAAAGCAAAGTCTTTTGTTGGAAGATGGATTGAAGATTTCTGATTCCTGTCTTTTGTTGGAAGATGGATTGGAGATTTCTGATCCTTTGTGTGCCACAAATTGTGTGGACATCTCGAGGCCTAAAATTTGCTTGGAACATCTTCTAATTCAAATTGGAAAGAATTCTCAAGTCCTTTATACACTTTCAAAGAAGATTTCACAGGTTCTCTCTCTTTGGATTTTTTGAAAAGGATCTTTCCATGCATATTATGTAGTTAAATGAGAGGCTATGTTTCTGTCATTGTGCAGGGATTAAATCTCACAGAGTGTGGTGATGATTGTATTCTTCTTGGTGATAATTACCCCTATTGGCTAACATTTAAAGGTGAAGGAGCTTCTGTAAAATTTAAAGTGCCTTCAGTTAATGGTCATGATCATTTAAAAGGGATGACTATTTGTTGTGTATATATCCCCTTAGGTGATTGTGATAAAAAGGCATGTCATTCTTGTATAATTTACTTAATGATCATAAATTATACAAAGACAACTACTTTGCTCTACACGGAAGACAAACTGAAATCCTTGGAAGAAGTAGAGATGAAAGAGATAATATCAAATCTAGAATGTGATGACCAAGTGGAAGTGAAAGTAGTTTATGGGAATGGATTCACTATGAAGAAAACAATCGTCTACTTGATCTATAATGAGTCCTTTGATGAACAGATGGAGCCTTCAACATCGGAAGCTATAAATTTAACTAGCACCAAACACAAATGTGAGGAGGAGGAGGAGGAGGCACATCAATCTACCAGACCTAGAAAGGCAATGAAGATTTGAAATTTGGAGACTTTCCTACTTTTTTCCCTGCAACACTTTCTCTTAAGTTTTTTCTGGCCACAACACATTTTATGAAGTCAATATATGTCATTTCAGAGTTAAAACTGATCTATATGTAGGGTTGTATATAAATAATTATATTCTCCCATTTGTGGCTCTCCTTTTACGGATTATGTGGGGTGACGCCTTTTTCCTCTTCCCTTCCTATTCCCAGAAAAAAGTTTTAAAACAATCGTATCAAAAATACAAAAATAACCAAATAGAGTGAAAAATTCTAGACTAAATTGAGAGGTATAAAAGGGATAGAATTATGATTTTCTTTGGGTATGCCTTAATACCTGCCATTGAAGATTGATATCGTTCTGCTATTGAAAAGAATAATGACTCTACAGTGTGGAAAAACCTTACGGAATAGTGGTCAAAAGTTGCGGGACATGTTGGCTGATATTAGAACAGGAGAAAGCTGTGTTTTGGATGGATGAGCGCCATTGGACACTAGCTGGACGCAAATGCAAGAGATATGACAAGTAGTGAGGGTGAGTGGAGCTAGAAGCTTTTGAAGCTGCCTCCCAGGTGATATTATATTCATCGAATAAGAGCCTACAGTCTCAGGCCCCCCGCCCCCCGGGGGGGGCGGGGGGGAAGCCTGCCCTCCAGGTATAAAAATCTTCAAGCTGAATCTGAGAGGCCTGTAAAAAAGTGTCTGAATGAGAGGAAGTGCTATACCGTTTTGTGTGGTCGCTGTACTGGCATTGAGGAGGACATGCAGAGGAAGTCTGGAAACTTTGTTCTTCCATTTCAGCTTCATCTGGCTTACTCGAAGCCCAAAGAAGAACGATTCGAGCAGGCATGCCAATTGGGGTACTATTTTTGGAGTGATTTGCTGGTACCTGTAGAAGGAAAGGAACCACATAATTTTTGAAGGCAGAAGTAGCAGCAAGAAGGAGCTCAAGGTGAAGCAGGGTGATTGCAATATGTTTGCGTGTGTGTGTGTCTGTGTCTGTGTTGAATTATAGTTCTAGAAAAAAAGTCATTCTGAATTGGTTCATCTTTTGTGATCTTTCATATGACACAACTTTCAAGAATGTCATAGAACTGGGGAGAAAATAAGAGGGCAGAGAGATCTAGAATGGAAAGATTGACACTTCAAACGACCATTTAAATCTGTCGAGCAAGAAATGATTTTTCTGCCAACATAAGTCCGCGTGACCATGAAATTTAGAGCAATTCATTCTCCTCCTCCCCTGGCATTTTTCTTCATCACAGAACATTTGAATTCCCATCATGTCTTCTTTGTGCGTCGTCAATTTACTAATCCTAATCCCTGCAAATAACCTTGTTTTAGGTGCGACTTTATCCTTGATTGGACACTCAGCAGGAGGATGGCTTGGACGTGTCTGCATATGGAAGAATTTGGGGTGTCTCATATTTCCTTGTTACTTACTCTTGGAATCCCACACATGTAATTTTCTTGCCTATAGATATTAAATCCTCTAAAATGGTTTCGAGTTGGTCAATGGTTAATACTTACGGCATAGTTTCTTTAGAGAATGCATTTATGATTTTAATTTAAATGAAGTGACCTTTTAGTTTAAAGCAAATTTCGCATTAATCGAAGCCCACTAAAAGATAATTAACGGAAATGGTGGTGCAACTTAATGTGAAGCTGGTGTGATCTTAAGTGCTTACTTGGCATGAATTACAAACTGCACTAAGCACCATTTCAAATTCCTTGGCTTTGCCAAATATAAAGTGAACACTGAACTGCACATCAACTTCACTTTAGGCTACATGAACTATCTTTGCTTACTATCTGCTAATGAGCTTATTGTCAGGATGAAAAAGAAGATACTTATTCAAAGACTGATATGGAATGTTAAAGCTGTGAGAAATCAAATGAGACGAGGTGTAATTATGGAGGAATAAAATTTATGCCCACACTTTTATTTACTCGAACATGAAGGAGCCAGTTCTCTAACTTACTCTGGCACATGAGATTAAAGTTCTGATCAATTTTTTTTTTTCTTCAACATTCTTCTCAGCCCGCTTCCAAAGGGCGCACCTGGGGTCATTGATCAAACGCGGGGTCTCTTGAATTATGGTGAACATAGCTGCTCAAAAACTGTTTACACCCCTCAACTGAAGTATGTTTCTATTGCTGGAAGGTACACTCATTCTTCATGCTTTGCTGAATGTGTTATTCATTTGTTCGATAAGTGTGAAATTATTTTCCCTGCTTAAGTCTTTGACAGTGGTAGTGAACCAAAAGTTGTTGAAGCCAAAAAGACCAACAACACTTTGATAATTGTTTTCTAGTTACGAACTATATATACTTATGGTTTAACACCTCATGTTGATCTAAAATCTTAAAGCATCTATTTTGGCGACAACTTTAGGAGTTTATGGGATGAAGACACTGCAAAAAAATATTTGGGAAGAGTTCGATATCTTTGTTATCTTTAGTGTAACTTCAATAGTCCAGGCCAAAAGAGTGATTGACAATATGGATTTAAATTGAGTACAGCTATATGCAGATATACTGAAGAGGCCCAGTGTTTTGGTCTGTGGTTCCCATAAACGGTTCTCAGCCAATTCCTGAAGCTGCCGTTGTTAGTGGTTCAAGCAATTCTCCACCTATTACTACGCCTTTTCGACCTCGCTTTGTTGGACAAAGGCACAAGCAGGTGATTGAATCATTTTAGGCAAAATTTTATCATGATTCTCCAATGATGATAGATAAATTGGCTTCCTCGAAGTTGCTTTTCTCCCCTTTGTCACTTTAATACTATAGAGTTTGATTAGTTTCAAGCCCAGAGAACATTGTCTCCTCCAAATATTTTATAGTATCATTTTCTTCAAAATTGAGTTTTATTTGCTCACTGGTGGTCATAAATATTTAAAATGCTATCCTCCAGTCCAACTGATAAATAAGAAATGAAAAATTACAATGAAGGATCCATAACTTACGTTAATGATAGTTACAGAGACATTAAACTTAAAAACTCCTCTAAGGATCATAGAAATAAGTGACCATTGATTCTCATAAAATTACCAATGGTATTACTTAAAGTTATGACTACTTTCAAAATTACAAGAATGTTTTGTTTTAAGTTTTGTTCCTCTCTTTGGATTAAAACACCTTGACAACATCTGGTTGATCAAATTGTAATTTTAGAAGAACCAATGGTAATCCAATTTATGGTCTTCACCAAAAACTTTTATTTTTTAAGTCTTTAACTGCTATTAACACAAGTCAAGGATACTTCACTGTCATGTTCTTCCTGGTTAAATAGGGGTGACTGAAGCCATGAGATTTTGTCAGGTTTGTGGGCAAGCAGATGTACGGTGTGATGGTGTGGTGCTAGAAGTATCAGCCCATCTTCGACATTAGCTTAATATTCTGATGATGAATTGAGACCCTGGTGTGGCTCCCCTGCTATTCAAGAGCAGTGCGTAGAACATCTTCTCAATTAAATCCAAGGGACGAATCAGCATTTTGCTTATGCATACTACTTAGTCGTTTAGAGTTTATCCTACAACTTATGTGATTTACCCCATTTAGTAGAATAAAGTTTACTATTGTTATACTTAGTATTCTGAGCTGGTAGACTACAATGAGTACTATCAAGCGTAAAGTCATGAACCCAGAATTAGAGCCGGGCTGCAATGTATAATGCCCCTATATATTTTGATGTTTGAGTTTTGAATATATGGACGCAGATTTTTATTTATTTTAGAAGCAAAATTTTCAATTTGTAAAATTTTATATTTGTACCCTTTTATTTGGATTTTCTATTTATATGCAAGACGAATGTTCAATTTGCTATGCTCTTTTGCTCTGTATATATATGTTTCTCCGAATAGAACTAGCCTTGAAGATTAAGCCTCCATTTCTCCATGTGTCAATCCCTTTGTCAAATTGCAAATGACTATCAATTTAAATAGTGATGTTGGGTAGAGCAAGCTTGTTTCTTATTTACAAAAAAGCTTTCACGCTATTATGTCGTAAGCGTATTTGCGAAATTGAACTTTTGAAGACGGAAAACTTCACACCTAGCAAGCTACCTCTAATTAAACAAAAACAATACTTGAAATATGACTCAATAGTATTAGAATTGTACACTTGTCTTGCCAAAAGATAAAAATAATACAAGTTAAATACTCAAGGTTTTAATTTGATCTCCTTAAAAAGTTTTAGTTGTTCAATCCTAAAACAATTAGCAAAAAATATTGATATTAAAATCTTGGGTGTCAATAAAACATTCTCAGATACTATTATATTAAAGGCGTGTTTGGCAAACTTGCCAAAAGCACTTTTGGAGCCTAAATCATAATTTGGCCCAAAATTTGCCAAACATCCAACGTTTTTATGAAACCAAGTTTTCACCCCCCCCCCCCAAAAAACTATGGTGTCACAAAAAGGCGGAAAAAAAAAGAAGCTTCTTGAAGGGTTAAATGCGGTCCTTTTTTCTACATTATAATACCATCTCCAATCCTTCATATAAGGGTTAATTAACTAAATTGAGTAGATTAAGAAAATTAGTTGATTTAGTTATTTATAACAAATAGATGTTGTCTTTCTTAAAATATCTTTGCTAATCATATATATTACCTAAAAGTACCATTTAATAAAATATTTAACATGTGTAACTACTACAAGGACTGAAAAAATATAATGGATAAATATAAAAAACAACGTAGATTACCATATTATATTTAAGACCAAATTAAATGTTAAACTAACTCTTATATTAAGAATTAGAGGTAATATGTGGTAAAAAAACTAGTTATACAAATCTTATACTTCATATATACACATGCCAATTATTAATTAGTTATATATATAATTAATAAATTGTTGTATAAAAGAACATTATGGGATTTCATGCTTAAAATTTTTTAAGGTGAAATAACATTTTTCTGTTGGAAAACAAGATAATCATATTTCTAAAAACATATTTAATCTTATACTTTATAAATATATACACATATTAATTATT